GTAAATGTTGCCAAGCCAATTAAACTAGAATATTCATAAAACTGAAACACTTTCGCCAAGAAACACAGTGGAAAGTTCGAATAAACATCTTGAAATTTTCAAACTATATTGGTCATGCAACTAGCATGGTCACGTGACCATTAGAAATAAAATTTTCGACGTTACTTCTTGGGGAAAGTAAAGTTTCAAGAGTATTATCTCAGTCTTTAAACTAATTAAATATATATATATATTAATATTATATATAAAATTCTCGTGTCACAGTTTTCGTTCCCATACTCCTCCGAAACGGCTTGACCGATTCTCATGAAATTTTGTGAGCGTATTGAGTATGTCTGAGAATCGGCCAACATCTATTTTTCATCCCCCTAAATGTTAGGGGTAGTCCACCCCTAAATTTTTTATTTTATTTTAAGGCAAAACAACGTTTGCCAGGACAGCTAGTATGATATAATACTTGTGAATTTTTGTTTTCTTAAATAAAATAGCTAGCCGAACTGGACGCTAGAGATAGTCATAAACATTATGACCTGCGTAAATAGGCCAGTAGATTTCTATATAAATAAATAATTTTAATTTCAACTTGGTATGCACTTTACGACTAACTCTCTTATCCCGGCAGCACAATACTAATTATGTACAATTATAGTAACATTTAAATCATCATCATCAATCATTTTTACTTAATTATATCTTCAGTAACGCTGCATCTTCCGGCCGTGGTCGCCACTCGAGGACTTTACTGCCCCAACGGCCATCTGTCCTACGAGCTATGTGCCCTGCCCTGCCACCGATTTGTCTAACGACATGCCCTCTCCATTTAAATATTCTTACTTATTTATATCTTCAGTAAATTAGCTTCGATCTACCAATTTGTCTAAAGGCTGTGATCTGATGCATAAATTTACTCATATAACAAATTATAGCCATGTCAATTATTACCATTTTCTTAGAAATAAGATATCTGAATCATATTAGGCGCTTGCCTTGTAACTTATCATGTCAAATCCTTACTAATATTATACATGCACAAGTAACTGTCTGTCTGTCTGTATCGCTTTCACGCCAAAGCTACTGAAACAAAGTTTGTAAAAATGTTACCCTTAAGGGGTAAAAAATTTAACCTAAATAAGATTGAAGTTTGTATGGAAAATCATTTTATTTGCCTTTTTTGAGTGATTATGGAATATTTTTCCTTCGTTTGGTCGAGGACTAGAACACGCGGACGAAGTCGCGGCAACAGCTAGTCATTATATATTTATTCGATTCTTTATGCAATCTTGTACATTATATGTTAATTCATGTAAGTCTATTAAAAACAAGTGTAATTTACATTTAAGAAATAGTTTCGTTTTTCTAACGAGGTTTCATGGCCTAATTTTTTCATCATAACGCACATGCGCTAAACATGTTCTAGTATTGTTTTTTTTATATTAAGCTCGGATTCGGGAAATAATAGTGGAAGTTTATGCTAAAACCTCATAATACATTATGTGAACTAAATGTAACAAAACCAATAGCCAAAATATAAGATATATGTCACGTTCTTTTATTAGAAAATCATTGTAACAATTTTTGCCTTTATTAGTTTTTGTCAGTATGGATGCAACCTTAGTGCTTCATAATACCATAGACAAAAATGTTTCTATACAGGTTAGTCAAAATTGTAATATAAAAAGAGCTTATTATTCGGTAGTTGGTGTAAATAGCGTTACTTGTCTACTCTTATTGCCCTTTTTTTTTGTTGATTTATATAATAAATCTAACGTTGGAAATATTGTTGAACTTACAATTGTTGAAATGGTGTTATATGGACTATTGTATTTTATTTATTTATAATTATGTTTTTACACCCTCAATATGAAGCCAGAATATTTTACTAAATAATTTATATTTTTCTTTTTTTTTTAATTTTTTTAACCTACATTCATATATTTATTAAGTGCCTGTATCCGGTCTTATTGGATAATAAACATTTCAGTTTGATAGTATTATTAATGAAAAGACAGAATAGACAATAGAAAAATAACATTTGAATTAATCTTCATTTTAATAATAAATAAATGTAAAGTAGTAATGCGTATAAAGACTTGTTTATACGGTGACAATTTGCCTTTACTAATATATCATTATTAGTGAAAATACCAAAATAATTACCGTGTAAATTCTGTCTGAATGACACAGATTAGATTGACAGAATGACAGATTTTCGCGCCATAAAATTGTCATCGTGTAACCTTGGCATAACCGCCAAATTCCTTGCCTGCTTTATTTATATTTTAGTTTTAAATTGAGCCATTTACTTAATTAGAACCTATTTAAAGTTATAAAAGATGTTTACAAGTGACTTTTTGAGTTTGTTCTATTCATTTATATTCTCAAAATGACCGATATTAGAGATACTGCTCTAGTCATGTTTAAACCGATCAAGTCTTAGACGTCTCTAAAATAAATGATACGTTATTAATCGGAGAAAGGGTGATAAGATCGCTCAATTGTTTCTTTACTATATTTTGACCAAAATAAAGGCATAATAAGTTTTGTGTAGTGGTGGACAATGAATGAACCGTTTGGTTAAACTGTTATTTTTGTCGTTGAACGATTAAACTATTTTACAGTTCACAAATAAACTAGTTTATTCGTCGACTGCTTGATGAGTCCGTTGCGTCGCGTTGCAATCGTCTAATCTAGTGAGCAAAATCGAAACGGTCGTCCATTTGGTAAACGAGATATCGTTCTAACGTTTACGAATCGTTTATGTGAAGAAATAGTTTATTAGACGATGATGTAGACTAGTCGGAAATAAGACTGTTTTTTAAACTAGTTTATGGTCGATAGTAAACAGTTTCGTTGCGTCGACTGTGAAATCGTCGACGACCCATCACTACTCTACACAGAAATACAGTTGTGGCGATGTTTTTAAATGAAAATAATTGTTAAGAAACGGGGAACTAGTCTAAACTAGTTAGCTATTTTTGTATACTATTCGGGACATTTTGAGAATTTAAACATGTTAACTACTATTAATTTTATTTCAATACTTGTTCATGTAAGATGCAGTTGTGATTGTACATTAAATTAGCTATGTACAGCATAGTAGGACTGTATGTATGTATATCATGAGTAGAAGTAGATAGTTATAGAGGATGCACTTGTGAATGACAATAAAAAGTCTCAAACCAGAAATATTACTTTTAATTCTACATATGTAAGAAGCACTATTTATAACGGACGACTGAGGCTTTGAAGTCGGCTACCGCAAGGGAAACCCCAAATAGCGCCCGTGACTTGTAACACGGGTGTAGGTTCAAAAGGCCCTTTTAGAATGCATTGACAATCACCTTCACTACTTGCAGCTTCCCCCCAGGCCCAACTAAGACCGGGATAAACCCATTGCTAATACAATTCACTTTAATATCCAAAACACAACTGGCACGCTCTGCGCTCGTCGACTGAATGCCGCGGCTCACGCAACGAAAGAGGTTTATTCAACTACCGACCTCCGTATTTATAAACCAAAGTCAGTGTAGTAGGTTGGTCTATAAATACTAGATGGCGCTATTTACAATATTCGTAATAATCCTTACATTGGGTACTTCATTAGTACTAAAAACAATTCTACAATAAAAACAACACTTTATTGCACTTGTTACTTTAAATATATTTTTAAAATATCGAGATCTCTTTTTTCTACAATAATGATGTGCAAATGTTCCAACCATATTTAAATAAACTTTATTGACACATTTTGTTAGAAACACATTAATAAAAAAGATTATTATACTTTAAAATATAGACTTATGGTGTCGCGGCCTTTTAAAGGAGAATAATTCCATTATACATATATTTTAACATTAGATCTCTTCCTTAACATTAGAAACCTAGATCCTGTAAAAAACAGAGGTAGTAGCTATTATTTATGATTATATGTTATATATTCTACTAGCAATACCTCGCCTGTTCCATTTACAATTATATATGTACAAGAAGACGATTCGGTTTAAGCTTGTTTTTATTCTATCGTAACTAGGCAACGGTGTTGCCGCGCGATAATAGTTAATTCGCCACAAAACTTTCAAAATAAATGAAAAAAAATCTTTCCCCACACATTACATTACGCCTTGTTCATGAATTAAATTATTTTTATTACAGACAATCCCTTCCGCTAGAAGAATGCATAATAACTGTCATACGGCTAAGTAAGAGTTTATATAGATAAATAAAGTTCTTATACATTAACTGTAGAACTTATTTTCCTTTCCTTTTCCTTTATTTCCTTTACTTATTTTCCTTTATATAAATGTTTTCCTGCTAGCTTAGACTATAAAATAAGACATAAATTTTCCATTCCAAAAATTCCCATGAGTCAGAAAACAGAAGAAATATTAAGTTCAGTGTTGCCATTCCGTTTTTTGAGGTAGTTAGTATTGTGCTACTTCAGCACGATTTGCACAATTTCTAATTTTAGATACCACGTGACATTGTTACGGTTTATTTTTAAGTTCTTTACCGCGAATTGTGGATGGAGGTGTAAAAGATAGGAATGACAGTAATGATTGAATGACATACTTGATTGGTGTCATTCAATATTTTGTATATGTAAAAATAAAGTGTCATTCCGAATTGAAATATTCTTATTTGATGTAAAATTGCGTACATGTCAAAATTCGCTTAAAAAATTATTACATGCTGAATCGATCAGCTGATTGTAAAATGAAACACGACAGTTCAGAAATGTCTAAAAAGAAATCTACGCAAAGGCCCGTCACTCAGAACTTTTTTTTTTATTATAAATTGTGTAACTTTCAGTACTCCATTTTAAATCAGTTGTATATATTAATTTTAAGGTTTCATTCGGATAAACACGCCTGGACTATTTAGAATAAATCAATATTTGTATAAAAATATACCTTTTTTATAATAACATTTTAATTGAATCCTAATACATAGAAACATTTGGTTCTTTCTAATATGTAATATTATGTTATCTGTGGTTCTAATAAGAATGAATGACAAGGAGTGCGACACTTCAGTGCAGTGTTTATTTCCTCAGTGTATATTTGATACGGAAAATATGTGTAATTTTTTAGTATTCTGTTTTCCATAAATCGATTCAATGGTTTGGTTTATAGAAAAAACTTACTGGCTAACGACGAGGTCCTTTTAAAGGAGTAAAAAGTTACAATGAACGGCCAAAACGACGGGATTGATTTGTATGCAGTGCCTTTAAAATCTCTTGGTTACGATTTTCGGACATTAACGTCGTGTTTATTAAATTCTAAGAAAATATTACCAGCCGACGGTCCCGATAGATTGTCCAGGTATGTGGTTTCCATCTGTCTACCAAGTTTTTCGTGGTTTCTGCTGGCTGAGATTGTTTTTACTTCGTTTTGTACAATGTCAAAATAGAGGAAAAATTTGAGTTGATTATTAATATGAATAGTCATTGCTGGTTTTTTTTATTTTAAAATAGTCTCGAAGACAAGGAATTTTAATAAATTTATTGTATTATATAGTTTTAGCATAATATTCAATGAAAGTTGATTGGTCATATGGTTGTCCCTTGTTGTAAACAAAAGATAATAAGTGCCCTATAATAAGTAATGCAGTCTGTATATCCTTACTTCCTTACTAATATTATAAATGCGAAAGTAACTGTTTGTCTGTCTGTCTCACTTTCACGCCGAAACCACTGATCCAATTTAAATGAAATTTTGTACACAGATAGTCTAGACCCTGACTAAGGACATAGGCTACTTTTTAATGCAAAACAAGGGTTGCAAGGGGTTGAAAGGTTATATGTAAGTATCGTCATTTTACACTGACGAAGTCGCGGGCGCAGCTAGTAGTATATATAGCGTTGGGGGGTGGAGAACAGGACAATTGCCTGGGGCCTTGACATTTGACATGACAAACAGAGCAAATTATAAACAACCAGTGATCGGCATGTTGCAAAACATTCCCAATTTAAGCATTTAATTGCAGATGAGCAAAATTAACAACATTAAAATATACACATAAAAAAATGTTTTAAAAATAATGTCAAGTAAGGCATAGTTTTCTTGAGTCTGTGGAAAAATTCTGCATTATTGTATATATTTAATTTGTGTGTGTGTACAATATGAGTGTAGACTCAATAATGGTCGGAAGTTGATCACCACTGGAGAAGGTCATAGCGCTGGTCAGGTTTCCACACCGAATATTCATAGTCTCACACATGTTAATTGTAGCGGAATTAAACAAAATAATATAAATCCATTGAGTCTGCATAATTGGTTGCATCACATACTTTTTTACATAGGACAAAGGGTCTCTGAAGGGCCTTACCCATTGCATGTATCCAGTCCTTGCAATGGGTAAGGCCGCGGATGTATATATAATAATAATAATAAAGCCTTTATATTATATTAATTATTTATATTTTACATTTCCTAACATTTCTACATATATACTAGCTGTCCCGGCAAACATTGTTTTGCCTTGAAATAAAAAAATATTTAGGGGTGGACTACCCCTAACATTTCGGGGGATTAAAAATAGATGTTGGCCGATTCTCAGACCTACTCAATACGCTCACAAAATTTCATGAGAATCAGTCAAGCTGTTTCGGAGGAGTATGGGAATGAAATCTATGACACAAGAATTTTATATATAAGATATATATCTGTTTGCTAATAAGCATAGGCCTCATCCAACTGTCCAGTGGTCTCTATTGTTAGCAGTTCTTGTCCAAGTACCATCTGGATGTATATAGTAATAACAGAAAATAGCTAGTATATAGAACACTGTTATAAAAGTTGTATCTTAAGGTGTGGTAAGTCTCAAGGCACACAACTTCCTAAAAACAATTGTAATAACATTTTTATTACAACAACATACAAGCTAAAGATTTATAGAAATTACTGTATTAAAATATATACTACGCTGTTATAAAAGTTGTATGTTAAGGTGTGGTAGGTCTTAAGGCATACAACTTCTTAAAAAAAATTGTAATAATTTTTTTATCACAACACCATACAAGCTAAAGAATTATAGAAGTTATTGTATTGAAATATATAGAACACTGTTATAAAAGTTGCATCTTAAGGTGTGGTAAGTCTTAAGGCACACAACTTCCTAAAAACAAATGTAATAACATTTTTATTACAACACCAGACAAGCTAAAGAATTATAGAAAGTATAGTATTAAAATATATTGTACACTGTTATAAAAGTTGTATATTAAGGTGTGGTAACTCTTAAGGCACACATCTTCCTAAAAAAAATAGTAATAATTTTTTTATTACAACACCATACAAGCTAAAGAATTATAGAAGTTATTGTATTGAAATATATAGAACACTGTTATAAAAGTTCCATCTTAAGGTGTGGTAAGTCTTAAGGCATACAACTTCTTAAAAAATTAGTAATATATTTTTTATCACAACACCATTCAAGCTAAAGAATTATAGAAATTATTGTATTGAAATATATAGAACACTGTTATAAAAGGTGTATGTTAAGTCTTAAGGCATACGACTTCCTAAAAACAATTGTAATAACATTTTTATTACAACACCAGACAAGCTAAAGAATTATAGAAAGTATAGTATTAAAATATATTGTACACTGTTATAAAAGTTGTATATTAAGGTGTGGTAAGTCTTAAGGCACACAACTTCCTAAAAAAAATAGTAATATTTTTTTTATTACAACACCATTCAAGATATAAAATTATAGAAACTATAAATTATTGGATTCAAAATGTGTCTTTCAGAGATTGGCGTGGAATAGCTTCACTAATAAACATATCCAATGAGGTTGTTGAGAGCATATATGGATTGGCAGACAAAACACAGAAAGTCATTGACTTGTGGTGTGAGAAACGAGATGGGACGGCCACACTCGGCAAGCTGATGGAGTACCTGCAGCTCATAGACAGATATGATGTCTACGATGACCTGCAGGATCTTATTAGAAGAGGCCGTATTGTGGGTCAGTAATTCTTTTTTACTAATTGAATAATAGAACACTTTTTTGTCTATGATGACCTGTAGGATCTCATTAGATGAGGCTGCATTGTGGGTCAGTAGTTCTTTTTTACTAATTGCATAATAGAACACTTTTTTGTCTATGATGACCTACAGGATCTCATTAGAAGAGGCTGCATTGTGGGTTAGTAATTTTTTGTTTACTAATTGAATTATGGAACATTTTTTTGTCTATGATGACCTGCAGGATCTCATTAGAAGAGGCCGCATAGTGACTCCAGACTCTTATCTGGCTCGTCGTATGTGTAGAGTCGAGACTATTGTATTTTCAAAGCAAATTTAAATCACTACCTTTACATAGTATAAAACAATGTCGCCACTGTCGACCCACTTCATCATCGCAGCACGGAAGACGTCCACTGCTGGACATAGGCCTCCCCCAAAGGCCGACCCACTTATATCTTTTGAATTAAGCAACAGATTTTAATGCAGTTTTCAGCTATAGAGAGTAGTTCTAGTGGAAGGTTTATATATATAATACATGCGTGTTATATTACAGAACAAGCAGAGTTCAAAGATTCATAATGCATCCATATGAAGTTGGTCACTAGTTTAACAATAAGTATCAAGTGTAATGCAGACGCAGTTGCTCGGGTCAGCTATTTTTTATATTTGTTGAACATCTTCTCTACTTTATTCATAGGTTACACACCTAGAAGCACTAATAAAAGATAACAACTTAGGCTTCGAAGCCGCCTACCACAAGCGAAACCCCAAGAAGCGGCCGTGACTTGTAACACGGGTGTAGGTTTAAGAGGCCCCTTTAGAATGCATTAACACTTACCTTCACTACTTGCAGCTTCCCCCCAGGTCCAACTACGACCGGGATAAACCTATTTCTAATACAATTCACTTTAGTACCTAAAACACAACCGGCACGCCTTGCTCTCGTCGACTGAATGCCGCGACTCACCCAACGGAAGAGGATTATTTATTTTTTTATTTTTTATTTCGGACTACTCTAATGCTGTTGGTCGTAGCTGGCCTTTACAGCTCCACGGACGTTATGGGGCGAGTGCAGATGGCACTCCAAACCCGCGGAAGGACTTATGGAGCGGCTGAAGGCCAACTCCTGCCCGACGGATACGACTTTAGTCTGAAGGCACCACTAGGGGTTCGAACCTCGGCTCAGGCTGTCGTAATTTCGATCCCCGTTTGAATTGGACGGGGGATCGATCGGAGGGGAGAGGGATTATTCAACTACCGACCTCCGTATTTATAGACCGATGTCAGTGTAGTAGGAAGAGAAGCGGGGGTAATGGATATCTTTATGACAAATAACTTAGTTCGGTCTATAAATACTAGACGGCGCTATTTACAATATTTGTAATAATCTTTACATTGGGTACTTCATTAGTACTAAACAAAAACTACCTTTTTAAATATCGGATTTTTCTACAATATTGATGTGAATTCTAACAGGTATGTGTATGGTCGTAGTCCGTATCTCAACCTAGTGTACAGACATCTCTCGGGCAGTACGCGCTCCTTAAGAAGCCTCTAGAGCTAGCGGACCCCTCGGTCCACCGAATCGCTACTTAATTATAATTATACTAGCTACTCGTCCCGGCTTTGCACGGGTGTACATGTATTATATATATAAACCTTCCTCTTGAATCACTCTATTAAAAAAAAACCTATTCAAAATCCGTTGCATAGTTTTAAAGATTTAAGCATACATAGGGGCGGACAGACAGCGACAGCGACTTTGTTTTATACTATATAGTGATATATAATTTATTTTTATTTCCAGTCCCAAAAAACAACATAGTGGCACTGAATAGCAACCAACTGGCGGAGATCGAGGAGCGCGATCGAGTGATCACATTCGACGACCGCCGCGAGGGGTTCGCGCAGCACTACCACGCGTACGTGCTGTTCGCCGAGGAAGACTGGGACTTCGTCAATGAGCTGCTGACCAGGATGCGCGAGCAGGGATTCAAGGTCTCAGTAGGCTTTATATTTCACTATACCATGTGCGAAGCATTGTGGTGCTGACATTTTCATTAATATTACGTTTCGCTCTTAAAAGTTGGCGCGATTTACAAATTATGACTTAGTATTTCAGCTGTACCACATTCATAATATATTAAATCATTAATAACTGTATTAACTTAAATGTAGCAATTGTTAAATGTAAAATTACTAACTGCCACCTGCACCATGCTACAGCACAGAGTATAGTTGATTAAAGAGGTTTTTTCTTATGGATGATAATGGAATGGTGCATCCGCCTGCGCTAACGGTTTATGCTGGCTGGGCACCAGTGGAGGATAACAAGATGAGCACGAGGTCAGGTTCGTTAGCCCATCGTGGTAAATTCACCATGACTTTGTCACGATTGTTTCCAGGGGGACCACTTGTAGGTTAATCGATTAAAAAGGTTGCTCACCCCTGCTCCTTTTTTTTTACTATTTTATTCGGCAATTAGTCGCAAGACTATAAGATCACATCTGGTGTTGAATGCTGCTTCATTTGTAGGTGAAGACGTTAGCACCACTTCTGCCTTTCTATAGTATACTTCTCCCCTTCAGTCTCTTGACTGTGTGACAAAGCTCCAAGAGCTGTGCTGCCAATGGATTATGATGTTTAGAGTATAGGTCTGTATATTTCCTGTTTATTATGTGATGAATTGTTGTCACATTCAGGTAGATATGAAACTCTTCATTTTTCGAGCTCTAATTATTAGATGTGAAACGGATATCCGGTAACTATCCGATATCCGGCCTATCCGGCGGCCTTAATACTATCCGGCCGAATACCGGATAACTACTATTCGACTATATATATATATTTTTAAAGTAATTATTTGCTTAATTTAGTTAGGCTGAGTATTTCATAAGGAATAAAATTAGTTTTAGTTTTTAATCTTTAATCACTCAATAGTAAATTACTGTTATAGAAACAAAATGAATTTATTAGTTAGCTAAGTTCCGCCGGATATCCGGCTATTCGGTCACATGGTTGGCCGGTATCCGGTCAAACTGCTATCCGTTTCATCTCTACTAATTATCGTTTTTTTAAGGTGCAATAATAAAAGAGTAATAATTTATTTTTTATTGTTTTTCCTGTCTGCAATTAGTCCCAGAGCTATGAGCAGTTTTTTGTGCGTGGGAGCTAAGACTGGAGTGTCTGGATGGGAGGATCTGCTCCTTAAGTATATTACAAACATTACATGATGTCGCTTCTTTTTAATCGCTAGAGTAATAAAATAAATAAAATTATATTTCATGTATTACAGCTGTGTACGATACTGGACTTGGACCCCGGCCACGAGACGCCGTACGCACCCGTCGCCCAACTCATCTCCGAGCGGTGTTACCGTATAATCCTAGTTTATTCGCCGGCGTTTCTCAGCAGTCGTGCCAACTCATTCTACACAGACTACGCACAAGCTGTTGGCATTGGTAAGTCTCACGATTTATTTGGTGAATAGCCATAAGGCCAGCCTGAAGGCGGTTGAAAGCGTACATTAGTAGAGACGTCATATACAAATTCAATGTTGTAAAACTGCATTTGTATGAAATGAGGAGATATAATGTATGTATGTATAATACATATTAAAATTATAATAATTTCAAGACAATTCACACAGACCCATTTAGTCCTACGCTAAACAGAGTCCCCTCCGATCGATCCCCCGTCCAATTCAAACGGGGATCGATATTACGACGGCCTGAGCCGAGGTTCGAACCCCTAGTGGTGCCCTCAGACTAAAGTCGTATCCGTCAGGCAGGAGTTGGCCTTCAGCCGCTCCATAAGTCCTTTCGCGGGTTTGGAATGCCATCTGCACTCGCCCCCTAACGTCCGGTGAAGCTGTAAAGGCCAGCTGCGGCCAACAGCATCAGAGTAGTCCGAAAAAAAAGAAAGCTAAACAGAGCTTGTGTTATGGGTACGAGATAATTGATATAAAAACTTACATAATAATAAATACATACATAAATTATTATTATTATTACAAACCAAATTGATTTCTTTGACTACCCCATTTGCAATAACTCTTGAAAATCATATAAATAGACTTCACTCACATGCTAAAAGAAATTTCGGCGAAGTACATAGGAATAGAATAGAAAATCATTTATTCAAATAAACTTAATTTAAGCACTTTTGAATAGTCATAGTTATCATTCTTTTAATCTACCGCTCATTCGGAAAGCTGTCTCATCAAAGAATAAGAGCAAAAACATTTATTGTCAACCATTATTACATATACACCTTTGACAATTGTATACAAACTTTAGCATATATATATATATATATCATCACAAGAAGAACGAGCAAGAAACTTGACAGATGTTGCTCTTGGCGACCACGGACCGGAAGACGCAAATAATCCGATTGTAAGTTTACATTGGATGCGAGCATTCGAAACGTGCGTATACAAACTACCAACTAGTGGACGTAATTTATGATGATGATGATGATTAAATACACTATACTATTAAAACAGTCGTAGTGATTAGAGCAGACCAGTCCCTACAAGCAGCACTCGTTCACGAGTATGACGTATGAGCTAGCCACCACTGCGCTCGACCTTATTTTAGTGAACCCAATAACTCGGCCCATCACGCCGCCACATGTCTGGACATTTTAGTGAGCATGACTACTCAAATCAATAATAATAATAATAATCTCAGGACATTTCACACAGCGCCATCTAGACCCAAGTTAAGCTAGTTAAAGCTTGTGTTATTAGTACTAGACAACTGATACAAATACATAGATTTTTTTTTCGTAAATACGTACATATTATACATAGAAAACACCCGGACCGATACAAACAATCATACTCATGAATATAAATGTGACCGTGCGAGGAATCAAACCCGCGACCATCGGACGTAAAGCGGTGTGCTAGACCGCTAGACCGCTAGACCGCCGAGGTCGTCATACTAATTACATAAAAAGCAGAAATAACTACATACCTTTATATATTCGTCCTCTTCAAGCTTGAAGAATGCGAATTGAACTGCTGCTGTAGTTTCTCGTTCGCGTAGTTAATGTAGAACTGCTCGAACGAGTTGATTTCGAAGGTTTCAAACGTAGATGTCCAGTGTGCCAGACCGGTAGAGCACCGAGGTCGTCATAACAAGGTTGAGAAATACGATTTAGACATTATCAAGTAATTTTATATGTAGCAAGCCACGCTAGCAATTCTCCCACTATGAGAGCATTGCAATTATTAAATTTATTTTTAGGTAAGGTCCAAGATGCTGACGTTTATGCAGAAGACTTGCCTTCCATAATTACTAAAATAAGAATATTTTTATCATTGTATAATTTTAAGTAGTATAAATAGTTTTAAAATATAAACGTGTTGGCAATTAGCTGTAAGTTTATATTGTGTTAATTAAATAAATAAATATGTGCAGAATCCAAACAACGCAACATAATCCCAATAATCTACCGGCCGTGTCGGCTGCCCGTTAACCTCACATACTACCACAAGCTGATTTACCAGCCCGACAAGTGGGCGCCGTACGACTTCTGGGAGAAACTCAGCGAGTCGCTGCGACAAGTGCAAATACCTAGGTAACACTTGTGATATTTATCCGTACATATAATATAATATATAATATAATAATCTCAGGACAATTCACACAGAGCCATCTAGACCCAAGTTAAGCTAGCTAGAGCTTGTGTTATGGGTACTAGATAACTGATACATATACATAGATTTTTTTTTTGTAAATACATACATATTATACATAGAAAACACCCAGACCGATACAAACAATCATACTCATGTATACAAATGTTTGTGCCGTGCGAGGAATCGAACCCGCGACCATCGGTCGTAAAGCGGTGTGCTTGACCGCTAAACCACCGAGTTCGTCAACATAAATATTAAAATATATCTGTAATAGAATAGAATAGAAATAATCTTATACAGAGTTACTGGTAACTCGATGTATTCCCGTCAGGACGAGATAGAGGAGCTCAAATGCAATAATTTTGACCCTATATATGTTTGGCCGAAAGTTAATAGTTTTCGAGTTATTCTGAATTTTGTAATTTTTAAAACATATCCAAATCAGCGCCTTATTATATATTATTAAAAAATTGGCTTGTTGTGTCTTTGAGGACTTGGTAACAAAACATAATAACTCACAAAATACCTAATAATGAATAAAAATAAATAATGCTTATTTTTACGATTACGATTTTATTTTTTTTGATAAATTAAACGTTACTTTAGTTTAAGTGCCATGTAGCTTAAAAAACATTATGACTCTAAGCGTACAAATTACTAATAAAACTTTCTCATCTAATAAGCTATCTAAAAAGGTATAATAGTCAATATTTAACTGAAAATGAATATTAAAAAAAAAAATTACGGTAAGGAGAATCTTTAAAAGGTGTCAATTCATTTTGGACAGTTCAATGAAACAAATTTTATACAGATGAGATATCAATATGAGACTCTCGATTTCGAATGCAAGTATGGACATGTTTTCGTATTTCAGTTTTTGTAATCCGTGACGAAAATGTTCTTTTCAGTCGGTCAGTTTTAAAGAAACTCAACTGATACGGTTTGACTGTATTTCTATATTCATAGAATCATTCAATTGAAATCATTTTATTTCAGAGCAAACGGCATGTGCTCTTCAACGTCGACTCTCGACATAACGGAAATGTCGAACACCATGACCGAATTCATGACCAGCTCGCAGCTGAGCGTGAGCACCAGCGACATGGACACCAACCATATCGTCATCACGCACCCTGATGATAGCACCTCCATCAGCGACTTCAGCAGCGGCGGCAGAGACAAGAAGAAGAATGGAGTGTTCCGTAAAGTTCGCAAATTCTTCCGGGGCCCGAAGGACCCATAGACTTTATATTTGCATTGACTCATGTAATCTTCGCTTGTTAACTCTTATTTGTATTGAGAATTATTTCTTTTTAATATGATGAAGTCTGTGGTGCAGTACATGTATATAGACAGTTGTTGTCACTTTTTTTTTATGTAAGCGAAATAGCAAACAATATGTTCGACCTGATGATAAGCAATTAAAAAGGATGGTAATCCTGATCACCGGGGTTACTGGCGGTCCTGCACCGAAAATTGTTGAGAAACCTTACCGCTCTTTGAGAAACCTAATTCTGGAATCAGCTCCTAGTAGAGATACTAGATGGTCTCGGTGGTCTAGTGTTTTAGCACAGCGTTTTATTTCCTATATTCGGGGGTTCAATTCCACGCACGGTACAAATGTTTGTATTCATGAGTATAATTGTTTGTATCGGTCTGGCTGTTTCTGTGTATTATGTATATATTTATATTAGTTATCTAGTACTCAAAAATGAAGCTCTGCTTAGCTTGGGACTAGATGGCGTTATGTGAATTGTCCAGGGGTATTATTATTTCTGTACCGATATTCGAAACCAAAAAAATGAGCTTATTCCTCCTTAAAAGGCCGCCACACTCACCAGAGTAGTTACAGACTATATCTTAAGCATGTAAAAAAAAGTGGCAACGTCGTATCAGATGAGTCGTCAGTTTGTTTACTATTTCGGTTACGCTTTAGTATATATATACAAAAAAGAGGATGTTATATATGTATAAATGATTATATTTTTTGTATATTCGACACTCGATGTCTACGTCTTATTATTGGGCATAGGGGCTGTATGGGTATTTTATGTTTTATGACAATAACGTCTAGCGGTCTAATGAAAAAAAGTTTTTATGTATGTCTGTCTGTTATCTAGGGGCCATCTATAAATTTCGGTATACGTTTAGGGGGAGGGGGTTGATAAATTATAAAATTTTGTTACAAGGTACGGAACGGGCTTTCATTTCGTAACATTTCAAAATGTAGGTAGTGTAACATATAATAATTTAAAGGTAAGCATAAAAATCCAGCTCCTTCTGTATATATAAGGTTTAAATTGCTTTGTTTCCTGTTTATACTCAATTTAAGAAGGAAATATGTGATGTCGTATGTCATATTTGACCCCTCTCCCATCCTTGGTACAGCAAGTCACATTTGTGACACTCTTTAGTCATAAATGTGACTTACTATAATAAAAATCCAGCTTCAACCTTATAAACATAAGGTTTAAATTACTTTGTTCATCAGTTATACTCAATTTGAGAAGAAAATATGTGACGTCATCATACATCATATTAGACTCATCTCCCATCCTTGTTACATAGCAAAGTCACATTTGTGACTAGGGAGTGTCACAAATATGACTTGCTATGTGACAAGGATGGGGGAGGGGGTCAAAAACTGATATTCTTGTGATCTAATTTATGATTGCCCCTAGGACCCAGTACGAGCTCTGTTTAGTTTGAAGCTAGATGGTTTGTGACGGTTAATTTACAAAATGATCATTTTCCACTTGAAATGTCTGCTATTCTGCTTGTATTGGTATTGAGTTCATGTTGTGTATACTGATATGAAATTAATATAATAAATTAGTTAATAATTATGAAGTATAATACTGTATATAACTGTGCTGGATTATCATAAAACTGATTTTATATTAATATTTTCAAACATATAACATTAGAGACCTGATTATAGGACTTTCAATTATTGGCGATTGGATTGTCAATCGCAATAAGAAATTGTACACAGGTGAAATTTTGTTCTTGTTTCAAATAAACACAATAGCTGCATTTACACAAAATGTTCTTTAACGCTCGATATAGCGTGGGAAATCAGGCGCGTTCATAATTTATTGTGTATATAAATTTTTCTATTCACGTTTTGATTTCTGATTCAGATCAAATCAAAAATATTTTATACATGTAGGACATTTTAGCCGCTTATGAACATAAAGTTTTTTGTATTAATATTTATTTCCTACCGTCCATTCATTTTCTTTCACATATAATTTCACTTTCTCTTAAAATGTTAATTTGTAATATTCCTGTTGGAAACACTATATTTATTTTATTTGTAGCAACATTAAATTTATTAGTTGGCAACTCTCTCTCTCTCCGTCCGTTCATCAACGTGCATACAGCTCCGTGTATATAAATATTATAAATTTAAACACTATTCAATTGTAAACTTCAATAAATAAGAAAAACATCAACTAGGAGACGTATTATTGAGCCACCATCAACAATCACCCACGCAGGGAAATACATCGCCTCAAACAAACGAACATCAAATACAAAACGGCACATGTTTTTTTTTTTGTGTTCTTAACCTAAATGAAAAAGAGAATAAAAACTACAAACTAAATTCTTAAATTGATTTAATAACAATCATGATTTATGATAGAACTAGTAGATAAAAAAGAATTATTAAAGGAATTATAAAAGGAAGAATTATTTTAGGTCATATACTAAAAAATGATTAAATCTAATCAATCCAAGGAAAATTCAAAAACCAAAATCACTAAACTAAAAGAAAGATGCTAAAATAAAGTCATGTCTCCTGTCTTGGCAACCTTCATCATCAAGTCATGGTTCTTATCATCAGTTCTCATTTGACCCAATGTTGAATGGCATGAGGAAACCAAAGCCTTGGCATTCTCCGTTAACATGATGTCCTCTGCAACTTTAGATACCCTCTTGATAGTAATTAGTCCAAAAAGTTTAAATATAGCGATTCTAGCTTTCTCTGGAACTGCAGTAGATTGGTACCTAGCACGGTAATATATGAGAAGTTTAATAAGAGGGGTGACTACTTTGTCTTTCCTGTGTATGATGTCATCTAATTTGATAGCAGTCCATATCATCACAGGATGGAAATTATTCCCTTTTTCTTCCACTAATGAATTAGGACACACAGATGGCAATAAAGGGCAGCAGATGGCATGAGTGTCGGGTTTGAGTGATCCAGGAAATATCTCATATGCCACTATTTCCTTCACTGACTTCTCATGGAACATCTTGACTGCTGTACCAGGGAAGACTTTTACAATCCTAGGGAGTGTGATCCTAGATTTCTGAGAAGTTCCACTCTTGTGAATATTATCATCTATAACATACTTCTCCTTTAGCATGTTTAATATGTCATTCACTCCTCCTCTGGCTTTCTTTATGATGTTGCCAATATTATTATTCGTGGCAAGGAACATTCTTATCAAGAAATTAATATCTTTGGAAAAACTCTCCTGATTAGAGAATCTGTTCTTCTCTTCTGATGCTGGTGTCCACTTTAAATTATCTCTATCATTTGCCAAATCCCATTGAATAAGGGAGTTCTTCTGAGCTTCATAGCTCTTCCTATTCCTAATCAGCTGGCTCATAATCACTCTGGGATTAAATCCTTGGTATTCCAAGGCTGTGCTGACTAGTTTCACCCAATCATCTTGGACGTTAATAATCTCCTTCAAATCAGTTTCTGAGATTACACCCTTAACCTCTAGGTCTGACAAGAAATTTTCGATTATGTCTGGTAGAGACAAAGCAGCTGATGCACGTGATGATGAAGCCATAGCTCTGACAAACCTGTGAGGGTTAAAAATAAGATATAGAATGTTGTCTAGATTCGCACCAACAATGCACCAATTATCACAGTGATAGTCAAATTAAGTTTTAATTGTTAACTATGACGTGATTGATGATTGTTGATTGTTAACTACTACGTTTGAAGCACCATTAATTAAAAATGGTATAGTCAATAATCATGTAACCTGAAACGGAACGTCAGAGGCCAGAGCCAAAGTAATGTGACATTGACAAGGGGATGACGGATGATTGAACGTAGGCAGCGGGAGTTTTGGAGCGAAAGTGTTTATATTATTATAAAAACAATAGGTATTGTGTGTGTGAATATTGTAGGCCTAAGTCGTCACTAGTGATTTTAAAAGATCAGAAGCGGTACCAATCCCGCCTACAAATTTGACCGTAAGGTAATTCTGACTAGAAATTGTGGTAAGTGAATTTACGTTAATAACACGCATACCATTAAACGCAGTATCTTACTTGTTTTATTGAACTTTTGGATGAATTGCTTTCTAAATATTAAATAGATTTAGTATGTACGATAACTTGCGAGAGTAATGACATGACATGTAGCACGATATTGAGGTATACAATATACCTAAGAAAGAAGTATTATGAATACATTGAGTATAAAACAACATGGATATCTAATTAGTTTAAAATACAGAGTAACTATTGTTATGTTATTAATGCCTATGATGATATCAACAGATTCGAAACAGTTACATTAACTATGTTGACATACAGGTTGAACATGAGAACACATACTGTAACATCCCTAACCCTAACCCTACATAACCTACACTGAGTGACGACAGACGGTCGTAACACAGACCTAACTATCCCTATCTAATGCTTACGTATATATGTCGTTGTGATGGCCAAGTGATCGTCTAGGACTCTACGTTGTTACGATTAATACCTAAGAAATAACCTACTGCAAAATATGAAGCCTACTTGATTATTATCTAGGAAATAGTAGTAAGAAATAAAACAAGGATTGAGCCGCAAATGAAGTTATTTATTTTCGGTTTTATTACGTGAGCAGCGTTATTCGATTCGTTATGTGTTTTAAATAAATTTAATATTAAATGACTTTACCACCCGTTCGGAACCCTATCTACGACCAAGAAGATACGGGCAAGAAACTTGGATTTTGCTCTTTGTTATAATAATGTTTCAGTTACAATGTTTACATGCTTATGATTGAAATTAATGTTATACATAACTTCTTAATATTAGAACTATCAGGAACCCAGCTGTAAGATTCGTTGGATGCTGTCGGAGGTCACCTTCGTCGCGTGCACGCGTCGTCTTATACCTGGATACCGACTCGTAGTTCCCTCGTAGTATGAAAATTGGATAAAGAAAGAAGATAAATATCTTAGTCTCATTACTGAAGACTAACCCAGTTGGAACTATAGTTGTAATATATCCTATCAGAATGGACGCATACGATAGTGCTACAGTTAAGTTACACCTTTAAAATAGGTTCGCGCAGGGGACCCACATCTGCTACTTCCTGACCACATTAAGAGCCCTTAAAACCCGACATAAGACAATCCATTCTCGGCACTCCTGGACCTAGATCTAACACGAGTTGCGAGAACAAGGTAGGGTT